TGATTGCTGAAAGCACAAAGGAGCCATGCTGATAGAGATTGTACTGGGTGGACCTTGCACTGACATGCAGACATGAATTTGTATGAAAAATAAATTTATTTAGTAGTCATTATTATTAGTTATTTAGTAGTTTCTTTGGTTCAGAAAAAGAAGCTGTACAACTTGACTCATTAAATGGGCCCCCATTCCCCACAGATTTTTTAAAAGTTCCCTCTGTTTCGTAGCAGAATTCTATCTTCAGGCCACCCTCAGCAAATCTTGGACTAAGTTGCCATTTAACAGTATTCAGTAATGAAGAGTTCATCATCCACAGAATTGTTTTCGAAATGATTAGCCCAAAACTTATTGCAGCACAGTCCCTTTATTTCTTACCCTGTTGCCAGCAGGTAGAAAGAACAATCTCATCTTCCCTGCCACAATCTTTTACACATTTGGAGAGTTCTGCAGAACTTTCTTGAAACTTTTCCAGGCTGCCCTGTTTCTTTCATGCATTCCTGTTAAGTTCTGTGTTTTAAATATTTGGTCATCTATTATTCCTCACTCCTTGATTTCTCCAGTTGATAAACTTTTTTAACAGAATGTGCTCCAAAGTACATTTCTGATAAGGAACTGCAGGTGCTAAAGAAGTGTGGAATCATTATTTCAAACACCATATTTTTGGAAAACCTTTAATGCATACCAGCAGGATATTTTCCAAGTCAGAAACATGATTGACTCATGTTCCACTGATGGTCTACTACAAACATCAGCTCTCTGCAAAACTATTCTTTGCTTCAGAACAGTTTTCCACCCTAAAATCTTGCAAGTGCTTAGTGTTTCAAAACACTACCATTTACTCCTTCCCAAAGGAAGTCTCAAACTGTTTTTGTTATAGCATTTCTCCCAGTGATAAGGATCTTATTGACTTCCAAGCCTATCTTCCCAAGTATCTGCAGCTCCTCCCAAATGCATAGGGGTTATCTTATATGCTAGATCTTCACACTTTAACAATGAATCATTAACAACTATCTTACTACTATATACAAAAGCTTTTATCATGGCAGAGACATAAATTACTCCTGACAATTCTGTGTTGCAATGTCTCAGTCTTCTATCAGATGACAGTGGTATAATGATTTAGTAGTCAGTTTGTTCTACCTGCACTTGTGTGTGGATGGGCAAGTGCAGGTTTTGTTTTTGTTCATTTGTATTGGAGAGATTGTGGAAGCTCCTTACACTACATATTAAGCACTCAGTCCTTGGAAAGGATGCAACATCTAGAGAAGGGTTGTGACTAACCATAAGCAGGTATTATGGTAATGATGCAACATACAATAGGTTTGAAATGTTTTCCACACAATAATTATAAAAATATTTTTTCTGGCACCTGTCATTGCACTGACCTTAACAAACAACGGTGTTTGATTAATCATCCCTGCTCCCTTGTGAACATGACATAGCTGTCATGTTTGTCTTTCAGTTGGAGAAACTCAGGTTAACTCTGTACTAGGACTGCCATAATATGTTCAGACCAAGTGAAAGGAGTCCTATGACAAGAGAAATGTTGACGGATACCAAATAGGCAGCAGATGTTACAGTCAACCCATCAAAAGAAGGTGTAGCAATTCTGCTGATGTGTGGATTGCTTGGAGGAGGCAATCTTTTGTTGTCTTAAAGAGTGAACCTCAGTCCTGCAAATGACCTGCAAAACATTCGTAATCACTTTTTGTGATCCTGAACTGTTTTAAGATTGTTGATTTTTATTTTATTTTTTTTTTTACCACAGCTGACTGTAATTGCCAAGAAGACAGCAAAGATGCATGTTATTCAAGCAAGCCAGCTTGCCCAGCACAGCCTGTCCTCTGAAAAATGCTGCCTGCTTCAGACTAGTGTCACTGCATTTATTTTCCTGGCTCCCACGCTGGACTATGAGTGAAATGCTATTTGATTCTCAGTAGTGTGCAAAATACACTGCTGTTCAAACAGCAGCCTGAAACCAGTGCTTTATGTGAGCGGCTTCAAAGATACAATGAAAAAGTAAACACCATTTGAACATACATAGTATTTTATTCATCCAAAACCTCCAAAGTAATTCACAGGTCTACCGTGTATGCTCTCCACCAGTTCACTCTAAACATATTTTCTTAAACTGTATGCCCTACTGACATGCAATTTACCAGAAAGGCTGATGCAAGCATCTGACTACCTGGCAGTATGCTTGGAGAGGATTTTCTGTTATGAAATGTCTTATTCAAATACAGTGGATTACAGTGAGCGTTGCACAGACAGATGAAAAAATAAGATTTGTGTTAGTGTTGGTGATTTACAGGGCAGGAAGGGAGGAGTTGTGTACGATTATGTGGCCAGTTCTGAAGATGAATTTTAGGGTAGCTGTGGGGGATCAGTCATGATAGTGACAGTAGGTGTAAGCTGAGTTCTCAGAGGTGGAAAGTCAGAGATGTAACTTGTTTTCTCAGTTGAGTCTGCCAGTTAAATCTTAGCTCATTTCCAAGCCTACGTTATAAATATATACACATACACACACATATATATGTTTGTTGCTTGTTTGTTTGTTTATGGCTAGGCACGTGTATAAAGAAAATACCCAGGTCAGAGCTGGGACAACTTTACAGAAGATAAATATATTCTGTAAAAGAAAACAAGCTGAGTAGGCAGGACGGGGAAGAAAACATATGTAACTCCTGAATATCTTGAAGACCATTAGTCTTAGCTAAGTTATCGTGGTGTATTTATATATCACAGAATCACAGAATCACAGAATTGCCAGGGTTGGAAGGGACCTCAAGGATCATGAATCTCCAACCCCCCTGCCACATGCAGGGCCACCACCATTCCACCTATATATATATGCTCAGTTATCATAGTGTATTTATAGGTTTGGTTTCAAGGCTTTTGGATGAAAGTTTAGCCTTGATGAAGCTAATGGTAATCCTCTGGTGATTTTAACCCAGAGGGATAATTCTGGACTGCCCCACTCCAACAATTCCCAGTTCGGATAGCACATCATTTGACACTTCATATCCTGGCTGTGCTGTACTTTACAGTAAGGAATCAGCCTCCTTTACAGACAACACTTCAGATTTGTTGCTTCAGACTTCAACATTCTTGCAACCTTCATTCTGCAGAATCTAGCATCCACATGCAAAAGTGTAGATGACACTGTATTTCAAGAAAGAGCACACAATTCCAAAACAGCATTGTATTTTAATCTGTATGAAATCTATTGTTTGTCAACCATGCAATGTAGCACACAGAAATAGGTGTAGAGGGATTAATTCCTAGTAAGTATCAGAAAAACATTATTTTGTTTTCTTAAAAAATAGCTGTTTAGTAACATATAAACAGAAATCTCGTAGACAGATCTCCATCTTCTGGTGGAGCTACAACACCTAACGCTACAGTTGGGTCAGAGTCCTCTTTTGGGTCACTTCCAGCAACTGTCCCAGTTGCTATCTTTTTCTCCTTGTATGATATCTGGTTGCCAAACTACAAGCTGAAGATAATTAATTAACCTTATCTTGTTGGTGTTGCCAGTTTTGGCATACTGCATTCCAAGTTCCAGTTAAAGGCACAATAGAAAAACAAACTCTCCTCTATGGAGAGGTTACATTGTTTATTGTGAGCCATTTCCAGCTAAAGTTTCACTAGTACAAGACTGATTTACACAACATATTTGTTCCCTAGCACAGATCACACATATGGCCTTCCACTATAGGCTCACAAGGTCTGCAGGATGTATTTGATAGCAAAGGCAGTGTAACAGATTGAAAAGCAACCTGTGGCAGAAGGCAAAAATGCTTACAGTAGCTTCCAGCTATTAAATGTATTATTGCTGAATTCATTTTCTATTGCAGTAAACAGATTTTCATTAGACACGTTAGGCACATGTAGGTAATACAGAAAACGGACACCACAAATGTCCTTTAATTGTGATTTCAGAAGAAAACACAAATCTTGCTGTTACAAAAGAAATGTAATACTAGAGCACTGGGAGTTTAGATAGTTTGTTCTCTTTGTACTTGTACACAGAACAGTGCAGGAACTTTACCAAGCACAAATCCAATGTGCCAAACTTTGTTATTTAGAGTAGAATTAAGGATGTTTTTACAGAGCAAGTTTCCAGTTCAGCTCATTATTAATGACTTATGTTTTTGTTCATTCACACTTCTAAGGATGCTTTTCCTTTTCTTTCTGCTACCATGTTTAATGAACAACTTCCATCTGCAGTCAAATTGTAGCACTGGATAAGCACACAAGCAGTGGCAGCCTGCTCGTGCTCCACTTCCAGCGCAGTGAGAGGTAATGAGTCTTAACTTGGGCAGCTTTGTTTATCCAGAAGCCATAAAAGTACTTGAGGAGATGGCTACAAAAAGAAAACCTAAGGTAACAAGCTTTCCTCCCAAACAAAGGAGCATTATTAAAGCTAAAGAGGAAGAGTCGGTTTACTAGAAGCGTATTCAGTGTGCAAGCACTAAAGAAGTACATGGCATTGCTGCATGTGCTGCTATAGCTGCCAATGACAGGCATAAAACAGAATATGTTTTGAGACTGCTCTGGAGAGATGAGACAGACTCACATAGTTCAAGTTAATAATGTACAATTCACAACTCAGCAATGTGAACATTAAGTTTTCAAGATCCCCCTGACTTTTGATTGGGAAACTTTGCTATTTTGTCTATGCAAGTTGCCTGTAATTCTTGCTCATCCTACTGTAACAAGAGAAAAGATTTCAGTCTCACTATGTAGAATGCCACAGAGACTGGGAGTGGTTTGATCCAGCTACTTAAAAGGTGCACCAAATCAGAACTGAAAATTTTTTTGAAGAAAAGTTATACAGGATGAATAGGGGAAAAAAAAAAGATTGATGGAGCACCAATTGTTATGAGCTGCTGCATACCATGCTCTAAGTGTTGAAGCACTTCCTCTGGAAAAGAAACAAAAGAACCAGAATGAAACAAGGTAGTTTTTTGACTTTACTGGG